TTTTCCAAATTGCATTACACACTTTATAAATTAATTGATAAAATCATAATGTGCAACTTTCTATTTTGTAACAAATATAGAATTTTTTTAGATAGCTGCAAGACGTTATTATATAAATCGGGAATGAAAACCTAAAAAAGAAAAGAGGTATATAAACTTGCCAACTAGATAAATTTATATGATAAATTTGCATCTAACTGATTACTCTCCCCTTCAATTGATTACTTTTCACACTGATTTTTAGTATCGATATCCCATCAGGTAATTATTTAAGTATACAATATTGGTAAATGAAGAAAAATATCAATTTCTATTTTTTTTTCAATGAAGTTAATGCCATTCCTATATGCTGCTACTGTGCGAATAATATTAACTCTGGTAAAAGAAACTTGCTGCTGTATAAATGTTTATATATAATACACATGAGCATTATTTGAAAAATCAGATTTATCAAAAAATAGAAACTTGCTTCAAAATAATGCTCATACGCATACTCTAATTAACGTGCATATACTCAAAATAATGCGCAAGTGGGTGTTATTACACGAAAATATAGTATATATTTATCTTTAATACTAGTTATTTAGCTCTGTATCAACAACTATTATTTAGTTATTAATTTGAGATGTTTCTTAGCATTATTCATCTTAGATAGTTTTCAAGTATATATTTTATAAATATATAAATAAAAAGAAGTTTGCTATTTATCGCCACTGGTAATCATCACCAGTATAACACAAACTAATAAATCTATAATGTAACACAAACTATATTATGCGCAATACATATATCTCTACAAAGTCTAAGTCATATGATATTTGTAATACCAAAAGGTTATCAATATGTGATTTTAAACCAATCAGATTTCACGAACAGGTAAACATTACACTATTAGAAAATTTATAACAACCGTTCGTTTTGTCAAAAATTGCCTGTAACTTGAGATTTTGTATAGAAAACCACCTTCCGTGTATTAACAAAATGTTTTCTTTGAGCGATTTTGCTATAATATAAAATCTCTAAACCCAAACCTTAGCATAAACCCTAATCTAAACCTAAAAGAATTTTACCAAAGATCACGTACCAGTAACTTTTTGGTGGTGATACTGGGGAAGATAATATAGCACGATTAGAAAAATTTTAAACAAATGTTTGAATTGCTATAACTTAAAAGTTTGTATAGGAAATTACCTTTAATGCATTGAAAAAATGATTTCTTAAGCAATTTTACTGTTAACCTTTACTAATACTTAACACTAACCCTAATTTTACCAAACTTCTAACTTTATCACTATCACATGACTATAGCATTATTGGTAGTTTGAATGATACTGAGGAAAAATCATACTATATATGTATTATACGTTGCAATATAACACCTATCTTATACGAATACATATAGTATATACGAATATATATACATACCTAAACTGCTACAGATCAATAATTCTAAGTTTAGAAAAATATTTTAGAATATAAAGTGAATAAAACTGGCTCCAAACTTTATAAAACAATCAGTAGGTTAGTATAATATAAGTAACCAAAATACAATTTTAAGCGCAGTAAGAAGAAATGTGCTTATAAAGATTAATTATATAATTGGGCCAGAACTTAGACGTGTATTTAGAGAGATCTTGTGTTTAGAGTGTATTTAGGGTAGTTTCTCTTTATATTGTATGGTATAAGATGCATCATAACTTTTAAAAACCATACTATACTATATAATACTAGACCCAACCCATACTATATGAATCTTTAAATTTAATAAGTTTACAATCATAAGTAAGTATTACAAGCACAAATAAGTAAATCACTTAATTAAGATGCATATACTGTATACAAATACATATAAAAACATGTTAGCTATAATATTTTGAGCTATAAAAATATGACCTATTAATGATTTTCTTTATTAACAGTATCAGCCTTAAATTGAGCACATCTATGAATGTTATGACCTTTACTGAACAATAACTGCATGTTCTTTGTTCACGATTAGATTGTTGCTTGATATTTTCTTTATCTTCTTCAATTGATGATCTCAATCGTTTTGGAGGATGACCTCTTGGCTTGTGATATTTGGGATTAGAAACCTTAGTAATATTACAAACAGAACTTAAATCAGTTAAAGGTTGTTGGGTTGTATCAACTAAAGGTTGTTGGATTGAATTAGTTAAAAGTTGTCAGATTGAATTAGTTAAAGGTTGTCGGGTTAAATCAGTTAAAGGTTGTCAGGTATTATTTTCATTTAGTATACTGTGAGTTTCTTGTATACCCAGACCAGTATTGCGATGATATTTTGTTATAAATTGGGTTAAAATCCTGATTAATTCTGCAGATACATTTTTGGCTATTGCAATTTGAATACTGGTCTTGGCTATAAACATTGTGGTACCAAATTGAAGCTTCTTATTAACACGTTTTTTAATAGTTGATGTGTATACATTAGCAGTTCAAATTTGATTAATGTGATATAATGGTACAGGTGTAAAATCTTTGATTTCTTGAGATATTGTAATATGATTATTTATTTCAAATGGAACTGATTTAAACCAGCGTGTATAAATAAGCCCCAAATGAAAAACTGCTATAAACGATTAGATAAAAATTCTATATTGATTGCAACATGGCATTTTCAAGTTTATTATTTGCATGCATATACAAAGTAATGTAAAGTCTTTAAGAATTACAACATAATGTGACTTGAATGTCGAATTTATCGCAATATAAGAGACCTCTCAAATTTCCAATATTTCATCATTTGATATACCTAATAAAAGCTTCCTTAATTGAATTTGAGGCATATCATAAAGTTGCTCGAGTGTACTATCAGCATCAACATTGGATTCTTTAACCTATCCACATATTTAGTATCTGTTAGTATTTATTCAATAAAATACAAATCAAAACTTGATACTTGCCTGTTTAATTGTAACTAATATTCCCTGATACAACAATGACTGGTTTATTTGGGCTCGTTGAAGTGAGAGCGAAATAGGTGTCAAATGTTCTACTAATACTGAATTAATGGCTTTGAAAATGGTATTGTAAGTAGATAGTAGACTAGACGATAGATTTGATCTATAATAGTCCCTTATATGATTATACCCAGTTTCCTTTTCCAATTCTTGTTCGATCACTTTTACTAACTCCTTCAACAAAGTGCCTTGATCAACATGCTTTTTAAGAATGCTATTTATTAATTCCACCCTTTGTGTTGATTTAGTTCCAGCTATAAACAACTTTGAAATAGCATATCTTGCCCAAGCTTCATGGCATAGATAGAGTTTCTTTTCAAGGTAGAAACAACAAGGTTCGTATTTTGCCAGCATATACTGGTATTTTAATTCAAATTGTTCTTGATTATTACTATTTCTCATACGATAAAAATCCTTAACAAAATTTTTAACCACATCACTGAGAAGCTTCGATTTGGCTTTCTTTTTTATATTTTCGCCAATGTAATAGATACACAATAAATGCTATGTTTGTGGATATATAACCTGAACAGCCACACTTATTGCTAGATCTCTATCACTAAATAAAACTACAGAAAACAAGTTATTTGTTGCTTCCAATGTACATCGCAAGATCCAATCATAGTCAACTTGAGTTTCATATTTTGTTAGAGCTTGCGCAAGGATCTGTAACTTGAAGTTATTATCAATTCCAATAAATAGGCTAAGTGTCATTTCATACCGATTTATCTTAACTGTGTTGTCATGAATAATGACATCATGAAACTTGAGCCAAAGCTCATTTTTCTGTTGATCACTCATCCAGAACAAACCTGTCAGTTCATTAGAATTACCCTCTATACATGAAATAACCACATATTATTGATCTTGTTCTTTCAAATTAAAAAAGTATTGTAATATTGTAGCAGTATCGGACTCATCATGAATCCTTACGCCTCGAAATTTACCAATAGCATTATACAGGTTCTTTTTTTTTATTTGATGTTGGAGAAATTCCTTTACAAGAAGATCATATTGTTGGTTAGCACTTAGCCGACCAACAATGGTATAGTTCTCTATTTTGTCTAAAATTGCTTGTAGAAATTGTAAGTATTTTGGTGCCAGATCTATAGTATCTGAATTACAAGAATAATTGTGTTTATTTTCTAAACTGGTAATAGTTATAAGATTTTAATATTTACTAAAATAGAAATAAACTAGCCATTAGCAATCAGTTTTATTCAAAATACCATCACGATGTGCATTAATATTCTCTACTTTTTTTGGTCTATTCACACCAGATTTCCAACAAGCATAGTCACGACGTCAGATAACAGACTTATCAACCGAATCAAGATCCTTGCGAAATTTAATAGCCACAAAGCCATGTTGTTTTGCGTATGCATCAACCGCACATTGTATAGCATTCCAGTCGTTAAAAGAATCACCTACTCGTAATGTTATCATTTGATTGTCATTATCAACATTAACATTTACACTATTATCAAGCTCAGAACCCTCAGAACTAGACAAATTATTAATGAGCTCAGAACTCACAGAACCAGGTAAATTATTAGTGAGCTTAGAACTCACAGGATCAGGCAAATTATTGTCTACCTCAAAATTTTCAAACTCAAAATTTATAGGACTAGGTAAGTTGTTATCAACCCCAAAGTTTCTAAAACCAGACAAATCAGATTCTACAGAACCGGGCGAAAGATTATTATACTTGTACTTCACAAGATTAGGTGATAGCTCAACTTCTACAAGACTAAATATCGTAGAATTACATAGCTTGGAATTCACAGAACCAAGTATTATAGAACCAGATTGTAATTCAACATCCACAGGGCCAGGTATCATAGAATCAGACAGTAATTTAGCGTTCACAAAACTATACATTGTAGAGCCAGACGACAACTTAATATTCTCAGAACTAGGCACTATAGAACAGGGCAGCAACTCAATATTCACAAAACCAGGCAATGTAGAACTAGGTGGCAACTTAGAACAATCAATGTTTACAGAATTAGAGATCGTAGAACCAGGTGGCAGCTCAAATCTATCAATATTCACAGAATTAGACATCGTAGAACCAGGTGGCAACTCAATGTTCACAGAATTAGGCATCGTAGAACCAGGCGGCAACTCAATGTTCACAAAACTATAACCAGATAGTAATTCAATGTTGTAATAACTAGAACCAGGCGGCAACTCAAAGCTATCAGCACCAAAAACAGGTCCAAACGTGGAGCTAATAACATCAGGAAAAAGACTTTCTAGCTCATAATTCAAAAAACTGAAAAAGTCATTCTCAAATCTGTTAAAAATTACTTGCTTTCCCTTTTCTATTTGTTAATGTATTAGATATTAAGAAAAGACTAGTTGATAATCTTTGATTATAAATAACCACTTAAAGTAAGTTATAAAGTAGTATCTTGAGTTTTGCAACTATTAGCTGACGAAAAATTTGTAAGTATACCTTAAAATTCAATGAAATGAAGATTAAAGAGAGACAAAAGTCAAATGATTGTTGCAACCCTAAATACCATTTAAAGTAAATAAAATTGTATTCAAAGTTATTAGCAACTAAAATCACAACGTACCAACAATGTAACGAAAAATTAAATTAGAATAGTTATAAAGTTAAAAAAACGTTATCGTTTCTTATTTGATTACTATATATATAGACACGTGATTTAATAATTACATAATTCTGGTAACAATCACTACTAGTAATAAATAGTAATATTTTATTTATAAATATCAAAATTAAATTAAATACATAGTACATAGTAAATATATATATATAATAGATTAAATTATTTATGCTTAGTAAACTAAATATAAAATGATAATTAAATTATTTATATATATAATATAATTTCACTTGATATATATTTGTATTACATATATATACATAATCGATATAATATTATTAATAGAAATATATAATTAATAGGCAAATCGCGAGTCATTTAAACAAATATATTTTTTTTATATGTAAATTTTACTATAAGTCTGAATATATAGCGCTTCTATCTAAAACTTTTTTTTACTAAGTAAATCACTCTTGGGTTTATAACAAAAGTTGTAAAGCTCATCAAGATGTATCTAATGCAGTTAGGGGATATACCAAATTAGAAAATCGGATTCTAGAATGATCTACGTATCGATTCTCGAATTTGATTGGCTCTTACGCACCTTTTTGCTAGCATTTTT